AGCCGATTACACCTGCAACGGCCCTGTTTCCAAATGAGGTCACATTCCGAGGTGCGGAGGGCTGGTGCCAATGAATATGGTTGGTACCAATGTGCGTTCTGTGTATTCCCAGAAGTAAGTGACATTTGAGCAAAACACCTAAAATGAGGGAGTGGGCCATGCAGACATCTGAGGGAACAGCATTCCGGGGGGAAGGAACAGCAAACATAAGATTCTGGGATGAAACGCAGACTGGCACGCTGAAGGAGTGGTGGGAGGATGGCTGTTGTGTCTGGAGGAGGCAGGGAGAAGAGGGGTGAGCGATGCAGCGAGAAGCAGAACGATTCGGCGATGGGAAATCCGTCAACTCTGAGTCATAAAATTAACAGCATTAAAGGAGAAAAAGCTATACATTTATCAGAGAACAACAACAATGACAAATCTCAATACAAGTTCTAAGGTATAAATAGACTAAACTTTCCTTTTATGATGAAGGATACCCATTACAGGACAAAAGGATACATCATATATTTTGTTTAATGTTTATTTATTTTTGACAGAGAGAGAGAGAGACAGAGCATGAGCCGGAGAGGGGCAGAGAGAGGGGGAGACCCAGAATCCGAAGCAGGCTCCAGGCTCCGAGCTGTCAGCACAGAGCCTGACATGGGGCTAGAACTCACCAGCCGTGAGCTCATGACCTGAGCCGGAGTCGGACGCTCAACCGACTGAGCCACCCAGGCGCCCCAAGGATACATCCTTCAATGGTATGTCGTAAAGGCATTTCTGTCAGTCGGAGCTCTGTGGTTCAACATCGATATTTTGGAGTCTGGCTAAAGCAACAAGAAAAGGAAGCGAACTGTGTACTCACCACTGTTTGCAGATAGTATGTCCCCCCGGCCCCCCCGGAATGAGGCATTTTCAAACTGTTAGAATGGAGTCAGCTACCTTTTACGCCCTGGTCTCGTAGGCTGGGAGTCCACCGTTTTGGCCGTCGTCGTCGCTACGGAGCCCGGCTGCCCCCGGCCTCCACTGCCCGCCACGCCCCCTGCCATCTCCTCGGGGCTGTCCGTTGTCGCTGCTCGCGGGGCTGCTGGAGCCCAGGTGCTGGCACACGTGCAACCTGGAAAAGGGAGGGACTTTGCGGGCAGCCCTGGAACGACGAGGAAAGGGCACCAGCGGGCGCGCGTGCCCCTCGCTACCGCGCACCAGGGGACGATGCCGGGGTAGGACGCACACCGCTCCCTAGGGTACTCGGGCAGCAGTGGCAAGTCAAGGACGCTCTCTGGCATCAGATCTCCCCGCTCCCCCGTTTTCCCCTTCCAGGGTCCCCATTCCTCATCTCCGAGGTCACCTCCAAAAATAAACCATTGGCCCACAAGACCACGTCCCATGTCATAGCTTCTGCTTTTGGAGAGAAATCGAATTAAGAGAAGTGACCGGGGCGCCTGGGTGGCTCAGTCGGTGAAGCGTCCGACTCCGGCTCAGGTCATGATCTCGTGGTTCGTGAGTTCGAGCCCCGCGTCGGGCTCTGTGCTGACAGCTCAGAGCCTGGAGCCTGCTTCGGATTCTCTCTCTCTGTCCCTCCCCACTCATGCTCTGTCTCTGTCTTAAAAATAAGTAAAACATTAAAAAAAAATTTCTTTTTTTTTAAAAAAGAGAAGTGACCCTAAGAAGCAGAACTTCTGAGTAAGATTCTAAGGTAGATCACACCCTCAGACCCCATTGGAAGGACGGTATGGCTGGTGGTGAGCGAGCTGGTGATGAGCCTTGGCCTGTGGCACAGGGACAGTTAACTCAGGGGGATGGATTAAGGTGTGGTGCAGGGGAGGTGGGGCGTGGTTCTGTGTGGCAGGGGTGGGGTTAGCGTGCTTTCCTTAACGGCTTTAAAAGCCTGAACGAATACTAACTTGACAGGCTCAAATTAGCCCACTGTCGGTTCAAGATACTCTCCGAAAATCAGCCGCCCCTGGCAATATCAGGGCCCCTCATCGCCTGCAGGCACAGGGCATTTTAGGATGAAAACCAGGTCCAGGATTCCCCGCAACTCATGATGTCGTTACTTCTCTCTTCAGTCATGTATTTAATCCCCAGTTCGACCAACAAGGGTGTTTTATGTTAATCAAAATAGCAAATTATCATACTGTCCATTTCTATCATATTGTCTGTTGGAGAGTCTCTTTCAAATTACTTGACCATACTTTAATTTTTTTTAAATGTTTACTTATTTCTGAGAGAGACAGAGCACGGGCAGGGGAGGGGCAGAGGGCACGGGAGACACAGAATCCCAAGCAGGCTCCAGGCTCCGAGCTGTCAGCACAGAGCCGGACGTGGGGCTCGAACCCACGACCTGTGAATCATGACCTGAGCCGAGATCAGACAGTTAACCTACTGAGCCACCCAGGCACCCCCTACTTGACCATACTTCATAGCCTCTTGTTCCTTGCTCAAACTTTTAAGCTTCTTTTTTTTATTTCTTTAAACACATGAAACATAATTATCTCATCTGTCTGATAACACCAATGTCTGCAGTTTTCCAGACGTGGTTTTCTTGTCTGTGTTTCCAACGGCTCTCATTCACGGTGTTTTTTTCCCTGTGTGTTTTGTGACTTTTCAGCAGCAAGTTGCCTACGTTCCCTCCAAAGCTATCTGTGGGAAGCTGTTGAAGCCTGCCTTGAGCTTGCCTCCCTCCAGTGAATATTTGCAGTTATCCTTTTTAAAGATGCATTTTTACTTTTGTTACTTGCGGTCAGAGAATGTCTCATAAGCCTTCTCTATTTAGAAAGCGAGTTGTCTGTTGTGTTCCATATATAATTAATATCACAGGTCAAGGGTGCTCTGTGCACCGTTAATAGAAAAGCATGTTCTGTGACCACAAACACCAGTGTGAAAGATGTATCCCGTTGTCACTTAAACGTCATCTCTGAGCCTATGCTGCCGGGAGCAAATTCAAGCTCAGTCAGAACTGGGGCCCTGTCCCCTCCCCCCCCCCAAGGGCTACACCAAAATGACCGAGATCAGTGGCACCCCGACACAGGGAAAGCGTAGTTATCTCCGCTTTCAGCCCAGGCCTCTGGGTCCCCCTCAAGTCCTAAGGCACCTGTTTGTGCCCGAGTACAAGGTGAGTGGAGTTTACTCAGGTGGACGACCCCAGGACTTTCTGCCCAGCCGCCAGGGTCCCCTCTGAATCAAGGAATGACAAGAACGCTGCCCGAGAGAGACTGGCAGCAGCAGGGTCCGACCTGGAGGACCCTCTAGAACTAGGATGACCGCAAAGCCCTGTTGCCAAGGACCCCGCCGGTCGATGCTTTGCGGCCGGGTGGATGGGTGCACACTTTCATTTTCAAAAGTGGCCAGTTTTGACTGGTGAGTTATGTGGTCCCTCTTAGGTCAGGAGGGCATGATGGAAAGCCAGGGAAGGTTTGAGAGAGGGAGTAAAATGTGAGTTACATTTTACAAAGTTCATTTGGGCTTTGGTCAAAGGCAAAGGGGTCTGGAGGGGGCCAGAGTAAAGGCAGGGGCGCGAGGTAATCGGTACTCCGCGCACAGAAGTCGGCGGGGGAGGGAGGAGGGGTGCAGGAGTCACTTGGGACCTTCAGTCTGAAGCTCCTTCGCAAGTTTCCCCTTCCCTGGGGTCCTCCTGGTCTGGGGAGGGGCCCCAGCTGCGCAGCCCAGCCAGGCCTGACCTAGAACGAGGCCAGCCTGGCTTCCGGCCACGGGGCTGGCTCTGAAATGGTGGAGAAATCCTGCGTTTCCCGGGTAGACATGGAAGGGATCAGGTTACCTTCTAGTCCCGCGGACAGAAGGGGCTCTTCTGGGAAAGGGGGAGCGGAGGGCAGGGACTGTCGGAGAGGCCCCAGCTCGTCGTCAGGTGGGGAATGGGAGGGAGGCCGAGCAGGGCCTGGCAGCCTGGGGACCCGCCGTGAGCGAGGTCGAAGGGGGG